CGCCCAGCTCATGACTTCGGTTGATTGTAGCTGTCAACACCTACCCAGATCCCATACTGCATGAATGCGGTATCAAGAATCAGCTGCTGTGGTATTTGGGAGGTTTCAGGTTTCGGATCGCCGCTGAACCGAGGCGAAGCGCTTCAACCCTGAACCCCAAGAAATCAAGCAGACGAAATGCTGGGCCAGGAGGGCACGGGAGAAAAGAACCGCGCACCCCACCATAGTTGCGTTTCAGGGCTGCTGGCTGAGGCTGAGGGACTTCAGACTTTCACCCTAAACCCTAAACCCTAAACCCTAAACCCTAAACCCTAAACCCTAAACCGAAACCCTAAAACCCTAAAACAGAGCCCTTCATGTCCGTGAGTGCCCGGGCTACTGAGAACCCACGGAAGCCCCAACACCATGAAACACAAACCCTCACACCATGAACTCGAGCTTGATAATCACCTATGCTATTTTGGGGGGCGCCTTATTATTATAACTATAGTATGAACTACCCCAAAACCCTATTCAAATAATTAAGGCCCTTACACTACCTAAACCCTAAACCCTAAACCCTAAACCCCTCCCCCCCATCAAACAAACAGACGACGGTCTCCGATGCAGAAAGGAAAAAGGAAGCCCCGGCCGACCTAGGCTCGCTTCGATCCAAGGTTCCTCCCGGCGGTTTAGGGTTTAGGGTTTAGGGTTTAGGGTTTAGGGTTTAGGGTTTAGGGTTTAGGGCGGGTACCACCATCTACGATCTCAGGGCTCAGACCATCACTGCTGTGACTACTTAGTAGAACGAGGGAACAGCTTAGAGACTGATAGATAGGTAGGTAAATAGATAGACAGACCGATATATCGACAGATAGATCGATCGATAGATAGATTGGTAGATAGATAGATAGATAGATAGATAGATAGATAAATAGGTAGGTAGGTAGGTAGGTAGGTAGGTAGGTAGGGAGGGAGGGAGGGAGGGAGGGAGGGAGGTAGGTAGGGAGGTAAGTATAAATAGATAGATACAATGCTTGATTGATAGATTTGACAATAAAGGTAGTAGCCAATACTACCCCGGTTCCCAGACCCGAACTGACCTCCACTGGACCTCCAAAAAATCAGTTGCAGGCCCTTTTCCGTCCCAACCCCAATAGCCGAAGCAAGGCACCATGAGGAGCGCATTGAAAAAGAGTGAAAGATGAGTCAGGGCCCAAAACTGAGGGCCTCAGGATGTGAGGTGTAGCGATAAGGGTTTGAGGTTTAGGGCTTTAGGGAGTCTAGGGTTGCGGATATTGAAATACGGTTTAATGCTAAACCCAAGCCCCGCACTTGCTCCCAGTGGCGGAGCCTTCGAAATCGTTTCGGAATCAAAAACAACAGCAGGAACAGCAATTGCAACAGCAGCGGTGCAGAGGAACCTATCGACAGGTGACGAATCACGAGAGGGCCGTTCGTCATAACAGGAATGGCGGAAACGGTTGTACCACTGGAAGCAGGAAGTGATGTCGTTGATGTCATACAGCTAGTGGAGCTACCAACGGCACCTTCTGAGTCGATCACACTTAATGGGCATAAAACGGTAAAGACAGCAGAAGGAGGTGGAGGAGGGAGAAGCAGATGATAGAAATGGCACTAACAACCAGGCTCCAGCACATGCAGACAATCATGCAATGGTAACAACACAAAGGTAGTGTACGTAGTGGTGTTCATGAGGGTTCTGGGAGTTTGAGGGAGGCATGTGGGTTGGGAGTTCAAGTGGGTGACTTGGGTCCAGCGAGCTTTAAAAGCCAATCCAAGCCTAAGGGCTTCAAGTTTCGAGAGCTTGGCTCTGTAGAGGTTTCGAGGTCAGGGGGCCCTACAGCAAAGCCCCAAACACTGAGTCGACGACAACGAGGGCCCCAAACCCTCGCACGCGCCTGTGCCCGTATCATCCGCGAAGTCCTCCGGATAGCTTCGATCTGCATCCTCGCCGTTCATGCTCAGTAGGAGTTTTAAGCCACTTCATTATACTATACTATATTATATTATAGTATAATATACCATATCACATTACAATATATTATATTATAGTATACGATAGTATATTATACTATGTTATACCCTAAACCCTAAACAGTATATTATATTACGGTGTAGAGTTGCCGGAGTCCTAGGGTTCAGTTCTTCGGGGGAGTCAGAGGTCGAGGCTGTTGGTTGAGGCTGCGATGGTAGATGTTTAGCAGTACAGTAATGTGGGTTCAGGGTTTAGGGCGGTTTAGGGTTTAGGGTTTAGGGTGTAGGGTTTAGGGTTTAGGGTTTAAAGTGCTTCAGCCTTTATGGTGTCAGAGCTGCAAGATCAGCTTGGGATTGGATGACTTCCTGGTGATAGGGTTTCGGGCGCATGGGTTCTTAAATGGCGTCAGCTCGTAAGACGGCGCAGGCAAGTCTTACCATATCGACTCCACTAGTTAGCAGACCAACGCGAAGGCTGCCAAGCGCGCCCTCAACTGACCTCAAACCGCCACACGCACGCTCAACGATCTTATCGGCGTGTAGAGACCGATACTACTTCTAGGCAGGCCCTGACGTGAAGAATTCGTAAGCCCTAAACCCTGAACCATCAACCCCATACGATGCGAAATCACTGCCTCCTGAATGGACGACTCGATCTCGGACAGCTCCTCAGGAAGTGCCTGAGAGGCCTCCGACCGAGGGGGCTTTGGGCTTTAGGATCCCTAACTTTTCTGGGGTTTATAGGGTTTTGTACGGGATATACAGGGATCAATCTACTATGGCGTGAGATTGAGGTAGTTTGGTGGCTAGGGTTTAGGCCTGACCGGCGTGAGCTTGGATGATTCTGGAGTCACTGTGGGTTGTGGAAAGTTCTTTGCGAGTCCAACAGTTCAGCATGTGCACTACACAAGGGCCCTATGGTTAGAATCAGAATAGTCTTGGGGTAGGTTGTGATTTAAGTATATGGCCCTAAACCCTAAACCCTAAACCCTAGAAGCCTGTATTGTGGGATTCACTGGTGTCTTCTCAAGACTTGAGGTGCGCAGAGATTGAATGATTGGCAGCATGGATCTTGTCCCTATGCTGGGTAAATCCTAAACCCTAAACCCTAAACTCTAAACCCTAAACCCTATGCTGCGAATAATACTTCTGGACCTGTGATACAACTCCGAATCCCTGACTTTCAACACCCAAAAGGCATCCTTAACGGTACCGCGACCCCCCAATTCCTAGATGCCATATCCCACACCCTAACCCCGAATGCTGCCGACATCTCAACCTCCAAAAATCCCGGATGTTCGACCTGCCGAGTCGTGTTTGAGAAGGCACTTAGGAGGTTCGGAGAACGGTTTAGGGTTTAGGGTTTAGGGTTTATACGAAACTCCTGGATCCGATCAGGAGGACTCCCAAGATACGCCTTATCTAGAAAGCAGCAAGCCCACCTAAAGCCCTGCATCATGCAACAAGCCCCAAACCCTAAGCCGCAAACCCCAAACCCTCTACACCCTAGAAACGCTAGGAAGTCCATAAGCCCTGAGAAACCCTATCAATCCTATGGACCCTATACACCCTCAACCCCAAAGGCTTTAAGCCCCCTTGGCCCCTTGAAAAGAAGACATGGGTAGTTCTCTACTTACTTCCCCAATAAGCCAGGGAAATAAAAGATTAAACTTTCAGATACTTTCAGATTACTACTAAATTATAAGAACCCCAAAAACTTATTAAAGTTTGGGTGTTGGGGAACTAGGTCTAAATTAGGGTCCCTTTGGGGGGTCCTTTTTATAAGGGTGCCGTACCAGCTGTAGCCTGGGTGATGCCGACTCGTTGGTCTGGCCTGCTCCAGCTTTGTTGAGGGTTTAGGGTCTAAGGGTTCAGAGTTTACGCTTTAGGGCTCGGGGTTTAAGATTCAAGGTTTAGGGTTCAGGGTTCAAGGTTTAGGGTTTAAGGTTTAATTTAGGGTTTGGAGTTCAGGGTTTAAGGTTTAGGGTTTAGGGTTTGTGTCTTTTGAGGTGTTGGGCTTTTGGGGTGAGGGCTTTGGGGATGGAGTGTTCAGGGTTTGGCGGTTGAAGAATTAGGGCTCAGTCAGGGTTATGGTTTAAGTTTTGCTTTAGGGTTTAGGGTTTAGGGTTTAGGGTTTAGGGTTAAGGTTTAGGGTTAAGGTTTAGGGATTTTCGGGGTATGTCTAGGAGCTCGGGTTCAGGGATCAGAGTTCTGGGGTATAGGCATGGGATTTAAGGCGTCAGGGCGCGTTTTATTGCTGGGCTTTAGGATTTTTGCGTTGGGGGCTTTACGGAATACCTAGTGGTCCAGGGCCTAATAAGGTTTTGGGTTTGATGGCTCAGGTGTACATGAGTTGCATGTTTGTAGTGTGTAGGAGTCTCGGATCTCACAAGTTTTCGGGTATAGAGCTTCACGATGGGCGATGTAGGGTTTAGGGCTTAAGGGTTTGGGGTTTAGGGCTGGGGCTTCGGTTGGTGGTTTGGGTTTGATGGCTTGCAGCGCCAAAGGTCTCGAGCTTGGGGCTGGTGGCAGTCAGGTTTTGTGGGTTTAGGGCTCGGGCTTTACGAGGCTTTCTGCGTAGGTTTGAAGGGTTCTGCCTACGGGTTTGGGATTTCCGGGTTCTTGGGTTTGTGGTGTCATTAGCAAGCTTTGCAACGTGGCAGGATGCAAGTCAGCCTAGGGCCAACAGAACAGCTGGCTCTGATTGCTTTGAGCTTGGAAGAGATCCGGCTCGGTCTAAACCCTAAACCCTAAACCCTAAACCCTCATGAAGCTGAGCGGGCACGTCCATGCTATCTTTGCTGGATGTTGCTGGCTTCCACCTGCTGCTGAGTCTTACTGTCAAGTTGCCACCCAGTAGTTGCCTACGGGCTACGGCGATTTCGAGCAACCTGTCCATATGATCCTGTCCGTGTCCGTGCTAGCTTCTGTCTTGAGCGGGTGTCGTGGACAAGCTTTCGAGTGACAACACCAAGCAACACCAACTGAATAATATGTTTTTCCATCTTCGCCCCATCAGACACATTGTTCAGTTCCTGTAGCAACGCCGCTGCCCTCTCGTTCCCTGCATCGCACGACGCTTGCAGCAGCTGCAACGCACGCTCCTCATCCGCTCCTGATCCAGGATTGCTAGGCGGCTAACACCAGTTTTGCAGTGCAGCATCGTGTGAATCTCTGAACCCAACAACTCTGATGCTTCAAAGACCACGGCTTGGGGTTCACGGCTTCTCACTGTTTCAGTACATCCACAAAAAAACTGCGACGCTAGTTGCCCCGAACACTCTCCAAAACACAAACGTCATGTGAAGCGCAAGCAATACTACTGCGAATGACAGCAAGCCTGGGAATACTGGTAGTCCGAAACTGGGCGACAACAATGGGAAAACTGCTAGCGGTCAGACTCTTGATAAGACTTATGACAACCACCACCACCCCTCCTCCTCCTACTGCTGCTACCACTACTAATAATCATCACAATCACAATAATAGTAATAGTAATAATTACTACTACTACTACTACTACTACTACTACTACTAGTACTACTACTACTACTACTACTACTACTACTACTACTATTACTACTACTTATAATAAAAACAATAATAATAGTAATAATAATAGGAATT